AGGGTAGACAATCATGTCAAAGGTAACTGAGCTTACAGAAGGTAAGGGGATGTGGGAAGTGTTTCAGAATGATTCTTCCCAAGTTTTCTGGAGAATAACAAGAGAAATATTTGCAGTGTTGCAAGGTTCTGTTAATCTAACCATATAATACAGAGTTAGTACTAATAGTTGTGCTTCTGGACTGACTACCTCAAAGAGCTAATACCAACAGATGAAGATGTGATTTTTGAGAGAGAGAGAGGAGGGAGGAAGGGAGGAAGGGAGAGAAAAATCATTATCCTATGCTAGTGTTTCTCAACCTAGGCGACTTTAAGATGTGTGGACTTCAACTCTCAGAATTCCTCAGCCAGCCGGCTGGGGATTCTAGGCTTTTTAAATCCACACATCTTAAAGTTAGCAACTTTGAAAAACTTTACTCTAGAATGGGCCAGATGGAGTTAGTCGGTTTGGGGGGGGGGATGTAGACCTCCCTCTCTTGAAAAACAGGGAGGAGACAAGAATATGGCTGCCCTTGATCTGGTGTCCACCTGAAGACTTGAATTTCACTTTGCAGAACAGTCAGCTCTGTAATTTGGGAATGACAATTCATCACATTAGGATCATCTTTTTCAAAAGTACTAAGAATAAATTCCCTCTTCACAAACTCATAAACAAATGTAAAATGTATTTAGGGACTTGGGTTTATTCTTATACTTCCACTTTGACAATCAGCTGTATAGGACTTCAGTTATTTACGCAGCTGTCAAATTCACATTTTGTACCTGTAAGGATTTAACTAAATTTGAATTACACTCTAATGCAAGAAGAATCACAGGTCTTAAACTTGGACTTGACTATACTGTGATTTATGGCAATATCCAGAGTCCTTAGGAAGAGTAGGAAAATAGGGAAAGTAATGCCAGATTATCTGCTGTCACTGACAGTCCTAAGAAGACTGTCCCGGGTTCAAAATCCACATTTACCTAACAGGAAATCTGAAACCTTCTTTGTTTAACTGAGTCCTATAACGAAACTCTGAGAAGCATGCTTGAGATCCCAAAGAAGCATCCTCAAGCAGTCTCAGAGTTCACCACTGCTACCAACATCACTGCTGGATCACCTTCTCTGATACTCCACTGATGAAATCTGCATGACTATAATTATCTATATAACCGCAAAGTTAAATTATGATTATTCCTTGACCTTGATGTAGTCCCCTTCTTAGCAAATCCTGTCCAAAGTTCATTGTAACTAGTAAAAATAATAGAGATTGAATTGCCTGCCAAGGGCTTCCTCAAATCAGCAGCCAACGTAGATTTTTATATCATACACCAGTCTTCTCCAACCTGGTAGCCTCCAGGTTGTGGAGACAGCAAGTCCCAGAATCCCAGCTGTATTTCTGCCAGGCTGGCTATAGCTTCAATACTTCTGGATAGCATCAAGTTAGAGAAAGCTTCCAGATGTTGGAGAGCTGGAATAATGGAGCTGGCTAAACTACTACTAGACCTTATATACTACAATGGATTATAAATTTGAGCAGAGATTTCTTCACACCCAGACCCACATATGAGTCCATGTGGCTGTAAACAAGTCTCATTTGACTTAATCTTCCTCTCTATAGGAAAGATACGCAACTCTGTGGGTAGCTATGGGTCACAATAATCCATTTGAAGACAAGCTGGTATTTTAAAAAGTTACAAAACATTTAATTTATACGAAACCAACATTTTGTTTCAATTAAAACAATTTACAGCTAATACGATTACTGCATCCCCATGTATTTTACAGTTCTTTTTTTCTGCCACATGAAACACAACTGGGGTTGAGGGGATTGGGAACACCATCTCAGGAATCCTTGCAACCATGATTTAGTGCCTCATACATGTGTGTGCACTGCTTTGAACTCTATAGCTTAAATTAAAGAAAGGTTAATAGAAGAAGGAGGAGGAGGAGGAGGAGGAGGAGGAGGAGGAGGAGGAGGAGGAGGAGGAGAAGAAGAAGAAGAAGAAGAAGAAGAAGAAGAAGAAGAAGAAGAAGAAGAAGAAGAAGAAGAAGAGGAGGAGGAGGAGGAGGAGGAGGAGGAGGAGGAGGAGCAACAGCAACAACAGCAGCAGCAGCAACAACAACAACAACAACAACAACAACAACAACAACAACAGGAGGATCTTACAAGAACCCATCGTCCCTCTAAAAAAATTGCTTCTACCAGTATGATGAGCTTTTGCTGCTGACTTTCTAACCCGAAAAATGTGGCCATTGCGGTTTATTTCTCAAACCCTTTAGTCCATTTCAGGAAATTCCAGTTAATTATACACAAAAGGGTGTGTGTGGGTGTAGGGGCAGAAGTCTAAGAGACTCGAGGCATTCTTCGTCAATAGGAAGGTGAAGAGAGAGAGAGAGCCTCCAAGCCCTTTATGTGTCAAGGAAATTTAACCCTCTTTGGCTGAAGGCCAGGAACTTTTCATGTGGATTGGAAACCCCAGCCAGGAGATTCTCGGGTGCTAGAAAGAACCATTAATTTAAACCAGGTGCCTCTGGAAGAAAAAAAAAAACACTTCATGAAAGGCAAAAACTTGGTCGCGTTCCCTCAAAACAAAAGGGCAATCACGCACATTTTGACTGAAATATCCCGTTTTTGGAATGCAGCCTTCATGCTTTAAACAAACTCGCTGAAACCTCATCCATTTGGACAATCGGCATGAAACTGAGACTACCCATATTTCTGGAGCTGGAGCAAATGCTTGAGGAGGATGCCAGCTATGTCCGCCCAAAGTTGCAGAGGCCTTACAGTATGGAAAGCAGCACACAGGCTGGCAGGGAACAAAGGAAAGTGGGGTTTGTGGCTGTCAGCCTTCACAGTGGCCTTCCTTGGTTGCTGCTGTCTGCAAAAGTTAACCCTGTGAGTGCCATGGGAAGCAAGGAGGCCCACGGAAGACGGCAAGGAACACCCTTCGTACTGTCCGTTTGCTGGCTGCAAGGGGCACAGTGGGGACAAAGAGGTTTTGGGGACACCTGTTGCTACTGTCACACCTTTGCCTACAATCCTTATTCACTTCCTCTTTTAGACTGGGATAATAGAGAATGGCTGCCCAGGGATGATGCTCCCTACATACAAAGTCCTGGAGATTTAAGAATACACAAGATAGTCTCTGAATATCAAAAAGGATTACTCTGTGAGGGGTCCTTGGTGTTCTCTGAGTTTGGTTATTTTCTTGCAGACATTTCATTCCCTAAACTAAGTAACATCACCAGTACTATACAGTACAGTAATGAAATGTCTACAAGAAAACAACCAAGCTTAGAGAGCACCAAGGACCCCCGCCCCATTTCAACCCTGAGCTACAAATATTCTCTTTCATTGGCATCGTTCTGTATTTTAATGAGGTTGGCCCCATGTGCTTTCCTGCAGAAAATTCAAGGTTAACTCTAGGTCATTAGAAACACTGCACAGATCTCTGGCCTGTCCTTTACAGCATAACTGTATGCTGTAACATACAGCATCCTCTGACCGGCAGCAAGTTTGGGGGAATCTCCCTTCCATTGCTACTTGGAATCACATCTGGAGCTGTATGTTGGTAAATCAAGTCCTTAGTCACCAAATAATGTCCTTTCCCAAGTAAACATCATGGAGCACAAATCATTGGAAAACCCTCGACCGTAACCAAAAGGAACAGTAATGATGAATTGCAACTGATTAGATTAGTGGCCCTCAACCTTTTGGGCTCCAGGGACTGATTCCGTGGATAGAGGTTTTTCCGTGGACTGGAGGGTGCATGGTTTCACGTGCTGCCTGCATTTATGTGGCCTGGTTGCTGGCATGCTGTGGACCAGTGCTGGTCCATGGATTGGGAGTTGGGGACCCTTGGATTAGATGAATGAGACCTCCCCATTTGGAGGGCTTTGACATTTTAAGGGGTGCTTAAAAAGTACTTAAATGCTTAAAGCATTCCCTTCATTCCTTGTCAGAATGGGTCTGGTCCATCCACTTTTGGAAGGCAGCTCCAAACATGGCACACAAGATCTGCCCCTGAGCTAACAAACATGGGCTCCTGCCTGATCCTTTTGGTCTTAAACAAGTAGGGCTAAACTGGACATCCAGACCTTCTGACTCTCTCTGTCTCCTAATACATCTGCCTCTGCAGTTTGCCAAGGTTATTTTTTTTTTAATTTTTCCATAGATATGTGGATCATTACAGGAGGAACAGAACATGTGCCATACATTAAAAACACCATCTTTTCATTTATACTCTCTACAGGTTAAAAAAAATACTTCTGGAGAAAGATATGAGTATAGCATAGAAGGAAACTGATCTGGTGCAAAGTTAGAGCTCTCCTGGTTTCCCTAATGATGTCCTCATCTTCCATCTTCCACCCCCCCATGTCACTATCTGCATCTCCTGAGTCTTTTGCATCAAAAGGAGAGGAGAATGACTCCGAGGCCACTTGTGCAGGAGCCCCTGAAAATTCCAACTTTGCACACCAGAAATAACAGAACACAGCAACTCTTGGCTGGGATTTATAAAACACTCCATAAATCTCCAATGAGATTATTTATAGTGCCTTTAATGTCTTTCAGTAGCTGAAAGAAAGTACTCCAAATGCCGGGGAAATGTTCGCTGACATCTATCATGTAATTCTGAATGGGGCAAAATAAATAATAGGCCTCTGTCGCATTTTTGCTCTTTGTATGTATGGCATAATTGGCGTGTATGAGGATTGCAGTGTTGAGAATTTTCAGCCGAGGCTGCCATTGGTTGCACTCTGGGAATTGCAGTTCCCAACACATCTGGAGGGGCCCTGGGAGAGAAAGGTTGCCAGAATAAAGCTAGAAACATTAAAAAGTAGAACTAAGCAAATGAAACTCTATACAATTTGCGCTAGGAACAATATTATGCTAAAACTTTCTACATTTGTTCTGTTTAGCTACATGTAATAACTAAGAAATATGAACATGATAATCTATTTCTCAGCTGTTTTCAGCAGAAAATTGCTTTTTGTTTGAGAATTAATTTCTGACTTACCCAGCTAAAACTATAAAAAAATCCAGACGATTCCACGTGTCTCCCAGGTAGCACTTCTTCCCAAAAATCCCCAAGGCAATCATCTTGATTATCATTTCCACCGCAAAGAAGGCAAAGATAAAATCATCAAAACTCTGGAAGATAAAGAAGCAGAATCTGTGACAAAAATCTGAGCTGGTGGCAGTTCATTTTTCAAGAAATCTGATCCAATCTGTTCTAAGGCCATCCTCCATCACAATCTTATAATGCTTCTGACGGCAACTCTTCCCACATTTCTAAGTGCAAAAGAATGATGGGCAAGGAAATTATTTTATCCCCAGAAGTGGGATGAAAGTGCACAGCTATATGAACTGGATGTTTCCTCACCTCCAGTGCCAAAGTGAGTGAAGAAAGCCTACTCAAGTTGGCTATGAGTCTCCAACCACAACCAGATTTATTTAGGTAAGAAGCCAAGATCTGAACAAACTAGACTATGAATTACCCTCATATGACAGATTGTTTGTCCCACTTTGTGTCAAAAACAACTCCCCTATATTTTAACAGTGGGAATCGGTGGTTTTGCTTCCTCTTTAGGTCCAAATTGCAGTTCTCAGTGGATCTCCCACACTGAGTAATGTTTGGATTTGAGGAGAATTCTCCATCCCAAATAAATGTTTGGCTCCGAGTATTCAAATTCCTGCTAGTTTCTGCCGTAAATTTAGCATTTACTGCTTTCCTTGGATATATGTCATGAAAACTATGCATATGGCTCAAGAATGATAGGTAAAAAATCCATCTTGATTCTTTACCCATATGGCAAACAGACCAGAGAAAGAATTGCATCTAACAGAACTTCCTTACATCCATGGAATGTAAGATACAGGATACAAGGTCTTAAATCAGGTGAAAACATTTGCCATGAGAGCTATTCTCACTCAGACTTGTATATCATGTTCCTTATTTCTTTATTTGTGAACACTTATAGGACCTACCAACTCACTTTCAGTGACTCCGGATAGCTTACAAAGATAAAACCCAATATATAAAACAATAAAAAGCAATAACCCCCACCCCCACCCCTGATGACAACAAACAATCAAATAAGTCATTTGATGGGCTCCATCCAACTCTGGGTCCTCTGAGGCAAACCCATAGGGACTTGCAAAAGAGTGTCAAAGTGTGGGCCAATTTTGTCTCCTCAGGGATGATGTTCCATAGGGAGGGAGCCATCATGGAGAAGGCCTTAGTTCTTCATCCTGCTAGGCCATTAGGAGAGGGAACTTGTAGCATTTCCTGCCTCCCTGCTCTGTGGGTCAGGTAGATGTGGACCAGGAAAGATAGTCCTTCAAATAACCTGGTCCCAAGCCATGTAGGACTTTGAAGGTGACAAACAGCACCTTGAATTGGACCCAGAAACAAATTGGCAGCCAAAGCAGCTCCAGGAGGAGAGATGACACATAAGCACATTTAGGCCTGCACAAAACCATGCAGGCCACTGCATTTTGGACCAATTGAAGCTTCCAGATACTTTTCAAGGGGAGCCCCATATAGAGTCCTAGTTGGTCCTTTAAACAAAATTAAAAAAAAAGCTTGAGATGTTAGAGATTGAACCTGAAGCTTGATGCAGTCAAAACATGAGCTTCTTTTTCCACTAAGCTAAGGCCTCTCTCTTGTATTACATTTTGACAAACTGGCATAAAGATAAAACAAATTTTACCTGGAGGATCTTGCAGCGTGGAGAGTCACAGCCCATGTCTTCACAAGGGTGGAACATGCCCAAAGTGACACAGTTCAGGAGAATTACCAGCATACTCATTCTTTCAAACCAGGTGCAAAAGGGTTCAGTCAAGGAAAAGACCAAGTTTAGAAAATGACTTTAAAATGAAACACATATTCTAAGGGAAAGAAATGGAGGCATTCGTATGCATATATTAGTTAAGGCACTATAGAAAAGAGTAGCAAAAACATGTTCTGTGTGATTTTGAGTGCCAGTATCTTCCTGTAACAGTAACAATCCTACTTCTTTGTAATTTACCTTCTCCCAAAAAGAAAATCATGTATCTTGCTCCTACCAACCAGTCACATCCATATGCACCCCAGTTTATATTGCAGTTTTGTAAAACATAGATTTTACCTGCTTCCTATCTTTGGCCAGCAAATCCTGGGGAAGATACGAGGGTTAAATGAAAAATAATGCCTCCACCTCTATAACTTCACATTTGGAATATTTTAATACATGAATTAGGAAAATAATCTTTGAAATGAGCTCCTTTGTTACTTGTATTTATTTCTCCCTATATTGCTACCATTTACTGTACTTCTGCAGTAAATTGACAATTGGCAGGCTAAATAATGCAATCATAAAAGAACCCCATGCTTTGTCTCTTCAACTATGTCAAGACAATCCTTTCTACCTTTTCTGAATCAAACAAAAATGTATTTCTTCAATTTTGGGAAAAGGTGGAAGCACCAAGTTGGGACTTCATGGTAGATGAAGTTAAAAGGTGACAATCAACTTAGGTTAGTTTCTTGGGTAGCTCATGACATATGAGGCCAAGCAATGTGATGTTGTATCAAAATTTCCTTCTTGTGCTTCCAAACTCTGCTTAAATATTGTTTAAAACTTTTGGATGTTGCATTGTAGTGCTCTGAGTTGCTAGTAATGCCAGTTCAAGAAAGTCCATTTTTGCAACTTCCAAACCAAGAGTTTTCCTGCAGAGGTCTAAATTTTAATTCCACCCACCCCCCAAAGGTTTCAAGATGATATTCATGGACTGACACTTCATTTATAGTTACTAATGATGAGCCTGTTTCACTGCTTATTGTGATCTGTGGAAGAAATTTCTCACCTTCATTTCTGTAGTGTGACAACCATTACTGCAAAATGTCAACTCTTAAAAGTTTTATTTGAAATATATAACTTTTCTATTTCTTTCTACCCTCCGCATTCAAAGAACTCTTCTTGCACAGACCTTCTGATATTGAACAATAATAATGAAGATCATTAATGTGATCAATAAAGTAACCCCACACATTCTTGTGAAAAGCAAAGCTTGACAGCAATTTCACTTTGAGCGATCAGCTGATTGTCTTCAATTAGTTCACCAACCTATCTCATATGAAACTCATTAGTTGCTGTCATAGGTCACCTATTTTGTCCTTAATCATAAAAAATCTTCCTGGTTTACCATCTTGACATTTTTCGGCCCAGTGATGCACAATATTCATATCAACATAGTCATCAACATAAACATCCTGCATTGAGTGGTACTTTTCAGTTGGAAGCAGACTTTCAATAGTCAAAAACTGAATCATGGCACACCACACTGATTAGTATTCACCGAGTGCTTTGATTTCATGAACAGTAACATGAATGTGTTCTCACACCAACATGCTGAAGTGAAATAACATGTGGTAAAGGACATGTCAAGAATCAGTTTTGTGCAGAGGTTAAGTCATTAGGCAAGCCCATAACCAAAGCATTGCACACATGTCATTGTGATGGACTGCTGGGGCGACTTCTGCTTTTCTCTTTTGCAAGATGGATAATAATGGCTTCAACATACCTAAGGTCTAGTATAATTTTTGATAGTTTTCTGTACTTCATAACACTTTGTAAGTTTATTTATGAAAGAAGTTATATGATCAAGTTTATACCAAGGGCTATTATATTTCTACTGGTTTTCATATAAAAAACTATGTTCTGTGATTTGGAAATTTGGAAACTAGCCTGTTAGTACAAATCTCTATCACTGTTACAACAGATGGAATTTTACAATCCATCCTGCCTCTCTTGTTTTGAACAATTCCACCAGAAGTGGTTGAATGGAATTCTGAAATTATTTAAAGGCTTGAGGTAATGAGGAGTCAGTGAGAGGCCAGTGCTGTAACTTTTGATGTGTTATGAGGCCCTCCGCTAAGGCACATGGAGGAAGAAGCACTCCATAATGAAAGAGGAGTAAAGCATGCTACTCTTTACATAGGCAAGTTCAGCCACAGAAATTGCCAAAATTCAAAGAACCTTGAGCTAAAAGGGCCCATTAGCAACTAGAACTTCAAACTTCAAATTCTGAGCTAAATATTATGTCGTCTCTTAAGCTTGTAAAATCACATGCTCCCAGAGATACTGATCAGATGGAACACAGACTGATGCATTAAGCAACATCTGTGTTTGTTGATATTTTTCCCTTTCATACATTTTTTCCAAGTGTACATAGCACTTTCATTTGATTCCCACTGTTTCTTTTCTCTACCTACAGCTATCCAGTTCCCATGGTTTGAACCAGAAACAGTGCCACAAGAATATAATCCAGGACATAAGACTCAGGACAACCTTGGATGATGGTAAAGAAATGGCAATTAACTGTCTTGCAACATGGATTAGTTTGGGACTATATTTGGAAGTAACCTAGTTGTAACTACCTCTGACAATTTAATGAGCAATCCAATCAGAGGCAAATACTTACGTCTCTTCTATCTTTCCAACTATGGACTATTGCTGCGCATAAACACTGTTATGTAGGGATACCTAATATTAATGGACTAAAAAAAATAGTTGCACATATACGTGCCAAGGAAGTTTTGGGTGGCCTTCAGCAAGATGCTACAAAGGGTAAGCTAGACAGTGCAGTTTCTGGAGCTTCTGGGAGAGATTACTTTGGGTGAAACATTAATTTCCAAACATTTCTTCTTCTCAGAGTGGAAACTATGGTTGTCAACAACTAAGTATTGCCTAGCTCCAAGGCTGACCATGTTGGGCCAAATAACAATTCAACCATGGGAAAGGCAGGAGAAAGAAAGAGTGTTTGCTCCATTTTGACAAAGTACCAGCTGCTTCAAATAGCTTCATTCTAGTCTGTAAGAAAGATCCTGATCTAGCTGTGCCATGTTGGCTGCCTGGGCAGTTTCTGCTAAGTTTGAGCCTTGGGAGTTCTCATACTGGAAGTCTTACACCAACCATGCTGAGAACTCCTCTTTGCAGGTCGCTCCTTTCTTCCAGGCATCTCCGAATCAGTTGAAATCTGGACATTGTCAAAAACAAACTTGGTGAGTAGGTCTTGACAGTTGTCGAAGGTTGCCATGTGATGTTATCAGGCTTGACGCCAATCATGCATACAGCAAGGCTGAAAGGCTGGGGATGAGGAGACTAGGCCAAGGCTCTGTCACACTGTACCACAAAAGTCTCCCTGAAGACACCTGAGGCATTAGGCCTGTCACTTCTGTTGGCTACACTGAAAGCAAACAACTCTCAAAAACTGAAGGCTTTTTCATGTTAGACTTTGGAACCCAAGAGATATAGCTCTCAGGCTATAAAATGTCCCCATTCTTGGTTTGTAGAATTATTTCTTCCTGTTTTCCTCCTGTTAAAAAGACCATCATCAAACAGGAATAAACATTGATTTACATTTTGTGGCAAGACACAGTAAAGTTTGTACAGAGTCTTGATCAGGTTGATTCCATCCTTTTCAATGTGTGCTATGCATTTAACATGTTCCCTCACTTTTTTGATATATTCCTTTTGTCACCAATCTGGATTGCCCAACTGGTTACGTTATGAGCCTTTATTTTATTAAAGTCTTTGCATCTCATTGATGGCAAAGATGTGAAAGCCAATGACTCCAATGATGGAGATCACCCAAACTACACAAAATGAAAGGAACTTTACTTTTCAAGGCAATTATACCACTTTCTCTCTGTTGCTCATTCTGTCTGCCCCCCATATTGCTTTATGTGAGATGAATTTCCAGGAAAGCTGTAATCTAAGCTAGGAGCCAGAATTCTTGTTCTCAAAATGTGTAAACATTTCTTTGAAATAAAACGAAAGCATTAAATATCAGCATCAGCGCAGAATTTAACAGCAGTCTCTATATAAAAACTAACCAATTCTTTAGGCACCAACCTTCAAAACCTATCAACCTCACAGCTTCCAGTTCTAAGCACTTATAAACATGCAAAGAATGTTGCAAGGAGAGATGTCTATGAATCCCCAATTTCTTAGAGCAGAACTCTGTATTTCAGGGAGTAACTGGAAGCTGAGCAAAAGTTTCTTTGTAAAACTTTGATGAGAACTGTTGGTCCATATATAGATAAACACTTTCACAAACTTAGTTTTTTTGGCTTAGCATTTGACTTGTGTTTGGGCTACAGCATAAGCAGCAATAATAATGTTCATTGGGGATTTGCTGTTTAGTGGCTACCGTATCATTTTTCTCTTGGTAAACTTGGTAAATTTTCAGGGGTTGTATGCCATCACACAACTATATACATACATACATACATACATACATACATACATACATACATTACATACATACATACATACATACATACATACATACATACATACATATGGGTGAGGTCCAAACAGGACATTGCATCAACTACCCAGCCCATTACCCAGGTCGTTAAAACACAAAAGACGAATGGGCACATATCAAGGACCTCACTCACACAGGATGTTATGAAACAGCCGACTAAACTGCAAACATCAACTCCATCAACTAATCAAGATGTAACAACACAGGCAACCAACCCACTCACAGCAACAAAGCCAGCACCCCACACCTCCCCACCAGTATTTATAGAGAGACGGCAGCTCCGATCATGCTTTGCTTGCACAGGCACGAAGCCGAAGGCACCAGCCTGAAGATGACGAATGGGACCTTGTCAAAACGTCGCCAAGATACTCTCAATCTTACATGGGAAAAGACCCGAATACGCCAAGACTTGCATACCTCTACCCGTGAAAATCTACGAAAACGTGTGCGTGTGTGTGTGTGTGTGTGTGTGTGTGTGTGTGTGTGTGTGTATGTAACTATATGCGGATATGACCTTGTAGATGACCCTCACTCTGTCAAGGACTAGGAGTACTCATCTCAAACGATCTAAGCCCCATAGCTCACTGTAACAGCATTGCCAAAAAGGCATTAAGAGTTGTTAACCTAATTTTGTGAAGCTTCTTCTCCGGTAACATTGTACTGCTAACTAGGGCATACAAAACCTTTGCCAGGCCAGTTCTTGAATATAGCTCATCTGCCTCGAATCCACACTGTATATCGGACATTAATACAATTGAGAGGGTCCAGAGGTATTTCATGAGAAGAGTACTCTACTCCTCTGTTCACAATAGAATATCTTATGCCACCAGGCTTGAAACTT